TATAGTTTCTTGCACACCTCAGCTAACTGCAAAGAGTTCATCTATTTCCGCTGGCAGATTGGATGGCCAGTAGTGCACACCTATAGCAAAATCATTTCTTTTTCCACTAATATTTAGCCAACTATCAAGAAGGCTTTCATCCCTATTGTTTGGGGGTTTTCTTTTTGTTTTTTTTTTGGGGGGGGGTTAGGTGGCAGGAGTATTAGGGATTTTCACTGCCTTATATCTAAACAAATAATACTGTAACAAAACAGGCTAGAGTGTTGTGATCATTAAAAAATGGTGTGCTGCAAAAACAATAAATGGGGAAAGTTGATGCATGCACAAAAATTAAGCAACACCTAAAGCCCAGTAAAACACTAGGCCTGTACTGTAATCATTTTACAATATAAAAACATTTCAAAATCACCCAAGAAGGTGCTTGCCTTTTCTGTTGTCTCCATGGTTATCGGGTCCAAGTCCAGAGAAATCTGTTCGAGTTCAATCCTTTATTTGCTTACACCTAATGGACAGAATTGTGCCAAACTAAAGCCGTAACTTTACCTGCTAGATACATTCTGAAGAGATTCTAGGCTATGGCTACCCTGAATTTCTTCTCCCATCCTGCTCGCAAATGGACACTCCCTTAATCCAGGCCTCTTTCTGGGAAAGATGTGTTTTATCAAAACTCTCACCTATTCCTCCTGCAAGTACACATTCCATCGCCATGGTAATGCATTCATGTATTGCCAGCCTATAAATCAGACAGGCTATTCTCTCTTAGATTAGCAGGGTTAAAAAAATTTCTCCCCTATTCCAACAACATCTAAGAACACTCTTGCTGTATATAAAATCAGTTGAGCTTTATTGCCAATTACCTTGAAGAGAAAGTGGCGGGCTTTAAGATGAGTACAAAGGACAGCAAATATTCCTGTATAGTTTTAGCCAACTCCAGAGTAGGTGGATAGCACTTTAATGCAATAGAATGAAAAGATTTCAATTTCTTACAATACAAAATGTATGTTCTAATTCTTACCTTATGTTCATTCTAGCATGTAAGCAAATGTTTAATGAATAAAACTCTTCTGCCTAAATAGTGTTTGTATTTGCCATTGCAGTATAAAAAGCAAAAGGCATCTTAACAGAAATAAGTCCTGTTTATCAGTTGTTAAACAAAATTTTCTAACAAAAAAAAGGGATATTGAAATTGCTGCTACAACCCTTTTAATTAAGAGACTAAAGTTAGAAATACTTCAGCCATGTACAGCTGAATTTAAAAGCGTGAAATCCAGGGTTGCTCTATAGCAGTGGTTCTCAACCTGTGGGTCGGGACCCCATTTGGGGTCGATCAACCATTTCATGGGGGTCGCCAAGCAAGGCTGTCCACCATTTTTTTGTCCGCCATTTTTTTCCCCCTTTTCTGGTGGGTGCCTTACCTCCCTTGGGCTGGGCCAGCTGGTGGTCGGCCTGCTCTGTCTCTGCCGCTTGCCAGCTACGCCTCGGCCGGCGCAGGGGGCGGAACCACGCATGCGTGGCGCTCCCGGGCAGGGAAAGTCCTCGACTTACGACCGGTTGGGTAGTCCTCGACTTACGACTGGTTTAGTCCTCAACTTACGACCGGTTTAGTCCTCGACTTACGACCGGTTGGGGTCGCGGCATTAAAAAGGTTGAGAACCACTGCTCTATAGTTTGTAATACATTTCATATGTTAATCTCAGACAATACGGTATTTGCTGAAAATACTAATTTACATCATTCTGCAAGCATGCAGCTACCCCACTGAGTTATCAAAATCTCTAAATGGCCAAAGAATGAAAAGTTGAAATCTGACTCTTCCCCACAATATACCCTGTCTCTTTCTCTAGTTTTGTGGGAGGAGTGGTAGCTCCTGATACTACCACTTACCGGTATATTCCAAATGGTGGTTTACCGGTCATTTCCCCCAGCCCTGATATGTGAGCGAAATAGGGGTTTCAGATTGCTAGGATTTTGAAAAGTAAAAAGTAAAAATAGGGGAAATGGAATAATGCAGCTTTTTGATTGGATAGCTGCAATCTACTGTATGTGAATCCTTGAGAAACAGACCAATTACATAAAAGACAAAACAAAATCAAACTTAATTTTTTACTAAGCCTAAAAAATAAGAAATCGTATTTTAAATTTTAAAAGATGCACATCCAAAGTTAAATACTAAACCAACAGTTCAGAATTATCAGTTTACAAGTCAGTTGAAGAAAAATACAAAGGATTAGAGTAAATCCTATATTCTGGATGAACCTAAAATGGTGTAATCTGTTACAAAAAAAACTTGCTTTAAAAGGATTGGAGTGGGATTCAAATGATGTTGGTACACTAAGATTATAGATACAATCAGCACCATCTTGTTCACATCCTGAGATCTCATTTAAGATCAGCCTAAAACAATTTTCTGAATTGAAGACTTATGTAACACAAAAAAACCCCATAGCACAGGTTCTTGTCTAGATTTGTTATCTAAAATTTTCTTGAAATAGCTCTTCCCTTTGATTTAATTAGCTGAACATCTCACAGATTCCAGGGAAATCCAAATTTTAATCAAAAGCTGTCTTCCCAGGTTCTTTCTTCCTTCCCTCTCCAATTCTGCTTTGTCTTTAAGTGACTCCTAATTACAGCAAAGACATCTTAGTTATTGGAAAATTCATTTGATTCCTTTCTTGGAAGAATGTGTCATGGTTCCAACAGATGAAACTCTTCAAAAAACTTTGAGGCATTGTTTACCTTAAAGAATCTTTTTATTCGAGTGGCATAACTTTGACGCTTACATAGTCAAAGACAAAATCTGAATTCCCCTCCCTTGAGCACATAATATCAAAGCACAATTCCCTCCTCTAATTTACAGTCATAAATCACATTCTCCAATTAGTCTGAAATGCAGGCTTTCCATCCAGTTCTCTCTGACCCGCCAATTCTTATCATCTCTTATTTCAAAAACCTTGGTTCACACACTAGTTACAGTATTGTTATGTCTAACTAAACTTCCATGCACATTCCTCCTCCCCCCTCCCCCCAGTATCATCTAATTCTAACTCTAATTCTAAGAGTAAAACACAAGAAGGAAAATGGTTGCAACTCCATGTTGTCAAAGCAAAAACATTCGATGTTAGCAGCGTTGACAGAATGGCTAATGAAACTATGACTTAATATTCAAAATAACTTGATATTTAAAAGGTAAATCTGATGCAGAATTCAGTTCTAACTGGAAACCATTTATTACTTAGTACACAGGTTTCTGCTACACTCTAATATTTAGAACCTGTATTTCAATCTTTTAAGAAGTTATGAATTTCAGAGTTGATATAATACAGCAATGATACTAGCTGACTATTTATATTGTATTAAACCAGGTACCTTTAATTTAAAACTCAATACTAAAAGTTTTTCCTTTAAAAATGATTTAACACATTTCATAACTCAAATATTAAATAACAAAGATTATACATAAGCACTTATTTCTGGGATATTTTAGGTTTAATGTTTACTTACTTGTACTTAACTAATTGCATTCTACTATTTTATTTTTTACATTTCTCTTTCACGCTTCATTTCTTTTAAAAAGTACTCAAATTTTCTATTTTCAGGAGAGAAGGCTGAGTTAGGTCTGTCATGACAATTAAAAAGTGGATCCGATATTTTGGAATGCAGACTGATATTCCTAAGAGCACAGAGATCTCTCTTTGCCTCCAAAGTATTTTTTTTTTTGGCAGCCCAACATTGGTAACCCTATATAATTTAATCTAACATAATTGTTGTTTCATTTCACATCATTTGTGGACTGATAATGATTACATCAATTCTCTGACCTTAGCAGCTTAATAAATAACCTTTTCTGACTGTTAGAAGTAAGTCTTCATCCTGGTTCATCCAAGCCGGGAATAAATAAGCAAAAATGGCGACTGCTTTGGGAAGAAGGTTACAGTTTATTGCAGAAGAAAGATGGTCCTTGCAAGAAGGAGCAGAGGAGAAGAGAGTGAGCACATGGGTAGAAGGTTTTTTATACCCCCTCTAGCCCTGTTTGGAATAGTTTCCTGTTCCCTGTGGCATGAACTTTGAGGCTATTTCTGAGTGTTTTTCTAGGCCTTGATATCTGTGGTTTAATCCTATTATCATATCCTGCTTCCCAGGTGATGGGGCTAATGACTCCTAGAGTTTGGGTGGGGCATGCAGATTTTCTCTTTGTCTTCTTGATTGCTCTGGCTTCAACTTTCTGATGGTTTTACATCTGCATTTGTATGGGTTAGGTCTTGCTTGGGGCAGAGAGATTTGGAGCCAAAGTTGGTTTCTGCTTTTTTAAAATACTTTTGAGGAAATATATATTTCCGCCCTTTTAATATTTCCTTCTCTGGGGCTCTGACTTCCCACACTGACTAAATGCAATAACACACGTTGTCAAGATGCAAAGAGGCAAGACAAGAATCACATATGAAGCAGCTCTTACGAGACCCTTCAAGTAAACTCATTCTTATACCGAGTCTATTTGCCTAAAATAATTCTAGGCTGTAGTTTCCAGCAAGGCCGCTGTTTAGTTTGTTGCAACAGAAAGCATAAAGAATTGTGTGGCTCCTTAAAGTCTTCTTTTTCAAATCACACTAAATGCAAAATCATGGAAAAAGTTCAGCTAAACCGATTCTAGCGCCACCCATCCTTTAGTTTAGTGCAGGGGTAGGCAACCTCGGCTCTTTTATGACTCATGGACTTCAACTCCCAGAATTCCCGAGTCAGCATAGCTGACTCGGGAATTCTGGGAGTTGAAGTCCATGAGTCATAAAAGAGCCGAGGTTGCCTACCCCTGGTTTAGTGGAAAGCAAAGGCGGGTCAGCCACTGCCCCGTCCCTTCCACATGCGCGACCACAGGCAGCCCCCTCTCTCCAGCTGCCCGGAGCGAGTAGTAAAGCTTCGCAAAACGAACCGGAAACCAGCCGGACGCACATGACCTCGCTAGATTGAAACGCCGCCCTCGCTTTCCCTTCCTAGCGCCTTTTCCGTAGTTCTCGCAGTCCGAGACGGAACTGGTCGCCGGGCTTTGCGAGCGGAGAGGGAGGCGTGCTGCGGAGCGGTGGTCCCGGTCAGCGGGGAAGGGTCGGGGAAGGGTCCGAGGGTGGGGCCGGGTTGAATGCGGCTTGGGGCGGGGTGGGGTGGGGGGGTACAGCAAAGCAAGCGGACGGAATGGAACAGGAGCCGAAGCAGCGAAGGGGAAGGCGGCGCTGGGCGCTGGAGGCGCGTTGTGGATCGCGGCGGTGTCTTGCCTTAGCTCTGGAGGTTCTGTGACGTCACTCGGCCGGCAGCGCCTACGAGAAGTGGAAGGTGCTCTTCTGATTCTTAGAGCTCTCTCTGAAATCTCAAGGGAAATGATCAAGGCCTTTTCGACAGGCTCCGCGTTTGCTTTTCTTTTTTTTTTTGAAAACCACAAATAGGCAGCTCGCGTCTTTGGATGGTTCCGACGTTTTTTCCCGCAAAGGCGCTCCCGGGGTTTCTTTTATTCCACAGCTATTTTTATTTATTTTTTTTTATTTTTTTGGGGTTATGGAGAAAATCTAGGTGGTCTCTAAAAGTCGAAAACGATTTGACGGCACGTACCCAATTCGTTTCGTTACTGTGACAAACCTTAGAATAGAAGAGAGCTGGAAGGGGACCGTGGAGGTCTTCTAGTCCAGCCCCCTGCTCAAGCAGGAGAACCTATACCAGTGTTCCTCAACCTTGACCATTTTAAGGCATGTGGACTTCAACTCCCAGAATTCCACAGCCAGCGTTGCTGGCTGTGGAATTCTGGGAGGTGTAGTCCACATGCCTTAAAATGGTCAAGGTTGAGAAACACTGACCTATACCGTCTCAGACAAGTGACTGTCTAGCTAGCCTCTTCTTAAAAATCTCCAGTGATGATAAGTGATGACCTTAGACTGAGGATCCCTGTAGTAAGTGTTTTGTTTGGGGCGGGGTCGCAGCAGTGAATGGATATTAGTTGTGACCCAGGTGAGAACCAAATGGTCCATTTCTTTCTTTTCTCTGCTATTTTATCTTACAGCTTTGGTAAGGTACATCGACTATTGCACAGAGTTAGTCCTTCCAGCTTTTGAAGCCTCTTAAGGGGATACTTTGCAGGATCTTTTGATTAATAGCATACGGAATCTGTAAGCACTTTAGGTTAAGTTAAGTTTCTGGTTTGTTTGTTTTTTAATCCAAGCAACTTTCCAAAGCCTGCTTATGTGTATACATGGGAATGAATTAAGCCTAACATCTGAAGACAGGTCAATAATTTGTGACATACCTTTCCTGGCCTATATTTTTCACCTATTTTCATACATTTCCTTTATAGATAAAAGAATTTCTCAAGTAAACCAGATTTAGGAAGGGAAAACCTTGCTAATTTTAATCAATGTTAGTATGAAACCAAAATTAGTTATCAAGAACGCCATTCATGAAAATTTATAGAATAATCAGAAGAAGTTATCTTTCATCCCCTTTTCAAAAGAAAGTAAGTACTATATTTCTTTGACTCTTAGTGGATAACATGGATTATTATCATTCTTTCTGCTTTCAGCAAAAGCTTGTACAGTATACTTTGCTCTGATTATTCAGAAAATAAAATATCATGTGACTAATTAGAAAGATAACAATTGCACCTTGCCCTTTGGAAGACCTTACCCTCTAAGGCAGGGGTGTCAAACTGCCGCCCGTGGGCCGGTTTCATCATACCGAAGCCAAGCCCACCCCATTGCCGGCACTGCAAAAAGGGTTGCGGTATGTCGCGACACGTCACGTGACGTGGTGAGTTTGACACCTGTGCTCTAAGGTATGATCTGCTCCCAGCCTCCTATCCTTCTACAAGAGTCTAAAGACCTGGATCTGCCAGTTGGCCTGGGGACCAAACAGGGAGTTCCACACTGGAGGTGGCTGCTAGATTGATGGCAGACTCCACCTCCCCACCCTTTGTTCTCTGCTCTCCATCCGTCCATCTTTTTGGTTATCACATTGATGTATTTATTTTTGTTGTGTTCCTTTGTCATTGTTTATTTTATTCTATTTTACTGCTGTTCTGTTTACACTCCTTTGATTTTTCTTCCTTTTTGTTATTGTAAGCTGCTTAGAGTAGCCCTATGGCGAGATAAGTGGCAAATAAATTTAACAAATAAATAAATGAGGTGAGAATAGAATAGAATAGGTGAGATCATCCAACACCGTCAGATGAGGCATCATCAGTACGTCGCTGATACTCAACTTTATATCTCCTACCGGTGTGACACAAATGTTGCTGTCATTTCCATTTCACGGTGTCTGGAGGCTGTGGGGGACAACAGACATCAATTAAACCCTGGCAAGACTGAGTGGCTAAGGGTGTGCAGAGCCCTGAGACCTAGGAATTTAACAACTTTAGTTCTGGATGGGATCTTATTTCCGCAGAAAGATCCTGTGCGCAAACTGTGGGTTCTTCTAGACCAGGGCTGTCAAACTGCCAGCCTGCGGGCCAGTTCCATCATACTGAAGCCATGCCCACCCCATTGCCGACAATGGCAAAACCGGCCCGATACGTTGCGCGATGTCATGTGACATCGCGGGTTTGACATGTCTGTTCTAGACTCACGACTCCTGCTCAAAGAGAAGAAGAACCTTTACTCCACTTTGTGTTGCACCATTTCTTGGATTGTGAGTCCTTGCGCTCAGTCACTCATGCCATGGTTATGTTGTGCTTGGAGTACTGCAGTGTGCTCTATATGGGGTTACTCTTGAAGAATATTCAGAAGCTTCAGCTGGCACAAAATTTAGCAGGGTTTTAGGTGGCCCATGTAACAACTCTGTTGTGTAAACTGCACTGGTTGCCAGTTTGCTTCCGGATCCAATTCAAGCTGTTGGTTATCATCTTTAAAGCCCTTTATGACATAGGTCCAAGATATCTGAGGAACCATCTCACTCCAGTGGGATTGACCCATCCCACTTGTGTTGAAAAAAGGGCCATGCTTTGAATCCCATCAGCCAAGGAATTGTGGCTGGCGGGGTCCAGGAGGAGAACCTTTTCTGCCTTGGCTCCTGTCCTTTGGGGCATTATCCCCCCTAGATGTGAGATCTGCACCCAGCTTCTCAGCCTTCCCTAAGGGCCTAAAAACGTGGGTCTGCGAACTCGCTTGGGGCCCATTTGGGGTGGCCCATTCTGGAAATGGCTAGTAGATTAGATAAGATCCCACCTCCACACCTGTTTACTCACTGGTTCTTTATTTAACTTAGTGTTAATGTTAGTCATTTTTGATTTAAGACTTGGTTTTTTAATGCTTCCATTTTAATTGCTTCTGATGCTGTAAGCTGCCCAGAATCGCTTGATGGTGAGATGGACAGCATATAAAACAAGCAAACCAACCAACCAACCAACCATTTGTATAAATGTGATTGATGTACTCTTGAAAATAATTTGAGCAGTAAAATTATTTTAGTGGAATAAAATATATTTTGCATATGTCTTTTTAGGTAAGATTGCTCCACTAATAATGTAGCTGAAAGGCATGTCTTTGCCCTGTGGAACCAACAGTCATGATTTTGATATTAGGGAAGCAGCAGCAGAGGAAGAGATGGCAAGTGGAATCATTAGGGCAATATATGAATAAATCAGTTACATACTTACCATTATTTTTTCAATCTTTACCATTGCCATTTTTATAATTTTTGTACCAGTGCATTGTTTTATGCTAACAGATAACATTGTTCCTTGCCTAAACTGTGCTTAGGAGACGTGGTGGTGCAATGGTTAGAATACATTATTGCAGGCTAACTCACTGCTTACTCCAGGAGTTCGATCCTAAGTGGCTCAGGGTTGACTCAGCCTTCCATCCTTCTGAGGTCGGTAAAATGAGGGCCCATATTGTTGGGGACAATAGGCTGATTCTGTAAACTGCTTAGAGAGGGCTGAAAAGCACTGTGAAATGGTATATAAATCTAACTGCTATTGCTAGGTTAGTTCTAGGTTGTTTCTCTCCTTGATTAGTTTCCACCCGTTGCTTCTTGTCCTGCCTCCAGGTGCTTTGGAAAACAGCTTGACTCCCTCTTCTTTATATCCCTCTTCTTTATATCTGAAGCCAGGGAAGTTAGGGACAAAGGGAGAACTTACAGTTCTCCAATGCAAGATACTATGCCATGAACTATGGTTTAGAAATGGCAATGACTGAATCAGAACAACAGGTCAAACAATCCATAGTATGACTTGATTCACACAATATCTTAAATTATTACCCTGAGTGATTAATGCCATCATTTTCCTTTCATCTTGCACAGCCATTTTCATTGAATCTTTCAAGCTGCCACCTTTAACTTCTCATCAACTTCCAGCTTTTTTTATCTAGCTATTCCAGTTTTGTACAATGTACTTAAACTTTGAAAAGTTTAATTAACAAGCTGAGCAAGACAAGGTTAAGATGATGGTGGTGTTGTCTATGTTGACCCATCCCAAGTTATTACATGTGTTGTGGGAAATATCAACCCAGTTGCTAATAGCCAAGTGAAATTTATTGAGAGGACAGAATGTAATTAGTAAAGATAAGAATACCAAAGGTTGATGTGTTCATTTTTTTACGTATCACAGTCTTAATTTTAAAAAATAGTTATATTTTGCCTTTTCCATCAAAAAGGCTCTAAGAATTGCCATGCAAATTGCTTTGAACTAAGATATGAACATGAAGTAAAACAAATTAAAAATAGATGAACTAATTGAAGAATGGAGTGGAGTGGAATGGCAATAGAATGGAATATATTGGCCAAGTGTGATTGGACACACAAGGAATTTGTCTCCAGTGCATAAATTGTCAGTGTACATTCAAGCAACAAAATGATAAAGCATAAATCATAAGATACAATCATAAATCATAAGATACAAACAGTGATAGTCATAAGATATCAATAGGAGTAGGTAATAGGAAAGGTGAGAAGGATAATAGTAATACAGCCATACTACATGAGTAAATATTCTTAGGCATAAGACAGTGCTGTGGGAATTAGGTGTTTAGTAGATGGAAGGGGGAAAATTGTCTTTGTATCTACTTGTTTTTGCATGCATTGCCCTATAGCCAAGTCTTGAGGGGAGAAATTGAAACAGTTTATGTCCAGGATGTGACATTTTCTCAATTGTCTTTCTGGCTTGTGCAATGGAAGGCAGGCTGGTTGCAATTGTTTTTTCCGCAGTCCTAACTATCAGTCTATACCCGTTCTGTTGTAGCAGTGGTAGAATTTTAAAAAACCAGCTAAAGTAGTAAATTTAAAATGTATATTCTAATACAAGGGTGTCAAACTGCCGGCCCACAGGCCGGACGCATCATCGGGAAACCATGCCCACCCCATTGCCGGCAATGGCAAAAAAGCGCCGATACGTTGCGCGACGTCACGTGACGTCGCGAGTTTGACATGTCTGTTCTAATAGTTTTTAAAGATTTGAGAGAATATTACAGATTTGATTTAATTTCTAAAGTAATGATGTATGGACCAAATATTTTTCTCTGGGCACTATATTTCATGGCAGGGGTGGCACTCCCGTGAAGAACTGATCAGAAACAGGAAAGGATCCTGGAGGAATTTCATAAGGAAGAAGAGGGGCTTTCAGGTGAGATCCCTGATGAGATTCACCTAGTTCAAACATAACAACAGAGAGTTGTTTATCATTATTTTCATATGTCTTGGGTTTTAAACTCTTCCCCTCTCCAGGCCGCAAGGAAGAGGTTGGAAACTTTTAATTTCTGTTAAATATAGTTTAGCACGGGAACCTTAGTCTTCCTTAAGTGTAATTAATTGAAGCTAAACTGATTTTTAAATGGTGATTGAAGTTATTTTGTTTCAACTTCCATAGTTAAGACCAATTGCACTGGATTTTGTTTAAAGACAATGTTTAACTTTTAAAATAAGTAAAAGCATTTGAATGTTTCTGGGAATCTTTATCTGAGATGAAAAGATATCACAAATCAGAAGGCTGCTGCTGTCTATTTCAGTAACGATGAGTTATCTTTAGTGACTGGAGCAGATTATTCAGTTTACGATGTCTTCATAACATATTCTAGAAATATGTTTATCATTCACAGATAGTTTAAATGTCTTCAGAAGACAAAGAATCTCAGGAGGATGAACTTCTTGCTTTGGCAAGTATTTATGATGAAGATGAATTCAAGAGAGCACAAGGTGTACAAGGAGGAGAAACTCGAATCTCTGTGGATGTGCCTCAGAATTTCAGAGTATCTCTGAATGGTAAGTCCCAACCCCTTTTTGGTATCTGGTTTTCTTGAAAGGTGTTGTAGTACAGTACTGCCAAGTATGGAACATTACATACATACATACATACATACATACATACATACATACAAACATTTATTTATTCATTCATTCATCCTAACCACCTATCTCCCACAGTTAGTTGCACAGTTTATGTTAGTCTGTGCAAAATGTAGGAGTTGGTTCATATGATATTTCCGTATATATATTTCAGAGTTATCTCTTTGAATATATACATACACGCACAAGGCAGGAATTTACATTTTGCACATACTTTGGACAATTTTACATTATAATTCAATCCAAAGAATAACATGACCAGAAGAAAGTATTTCTAACTCCAAATCCAAGCCCAAGTTGATTTTGATGGAAATGAAAGTGATTTTAGAAGTGGGTGAAGAGGGCTAACGGGGAACGTTCAGGAGTCAGCCAGAGATTTCTTGATATGCCATCTGTGAAACAGAAGATGCGAGATCCTTTTCTCTGCATGACAATTGTGATGAATCTTGTGATGAATCTGTTTCCATGATTGGTAAGAAAGTGGTTGACAACTAGCCCTAACCCTAACACAGATGGTTCTGTGTTATACAAAGAAATGGCAACACATGAGCATCCAAAGATCGTTGAACACCTCCCATGAGACCTAGTCTAGATCACCAGTATTGAAAAAGTGGATGAGGATTGCAGTCTAACTATATTTGGAGGCCATATTTACTCAATGTACCTGAATCCAAGCAACAAGTTTTCAGGAATTTTTCTAATGAAAGGTTTTGTGGAAATAATATTGAACCATTCAATTAAACAGCATGACTTGGAAATTGCGTGATCAGGTTAATTTGTAAGTCATCCAGAGTTGCCTTGCAGCAAGATGAGCGGCAAACCCATTTAATAAGTAATTAAATAAATAAATTTTGTTTCAGGCAATTTCACAGAGACTCTTCAAAACAGCAAGCTTGAATATGCAGTCAGCTTTCTGCCTCCAGTAGTGCTGAATTTTGAATTCCCAGCAGACTATCCTTCAACTTCCCCACCTCTGTTCACTCTCAATTGCAAGTGGCTGTCTCAGGCTCAGGTTTGGCATAGATCTTTTACACAGCATGTGATTTATATAGTCCACCAGGATGACAAGGCACATATATATATATTCTTAGTGAGTGATTGGCAATCTTGTTGCAGCCAGAATAAGGCTGCTAAAAGGAAGCATCGTAATTAAAATTCAGATTAGCTGCTAGGGAAAATAATACGCGTGTTAAAACTTCTCTTGAATTGTTTTTAATTATATTATAAAGTCAATAATTGTGACTTCAAAACCTTAATGTTATTCATATAGCGTATTTATTTGGAAATTGTACCTGAGTAATTTTTGGAGTTATGTTTTATCTCTATGGGTATAGCAGTCCCTAACGTTCAGATAACAGCTTCGTATGGGGCTTGAAATATGGCTGCAGTACTATTAAAATAATGTTTCTTTTCATGAAATCTTGCTTTCTTTAAGGATATAGTAATATCGACTTAAGATTCGTGGAAAATAATATTTTTCTGTTTCTCCCCTCCCCTCCCCCAGCTGAGTGCCCTTTGCAGGAACCTAGATAACTTATGGGAAGAAAACAGAGGTTCTGTAGTCCTGTTTGCCTGGATGCAATTTCTCAAAGAAGAGACACTGGCCTATCTGAATATCACTTCCCCTTTTGAACCAGAGATAACCAAACAAGAAAAACAGCCAAAGGAAGAGGGTGCTAGCTATGACATCCAGGATGCTGCATCAGCACATGGAGAATCCTCTAATACAATTACTGAAGAGAATGTTGAATCTTTGTCAATCCTGATTAAGGAAATTTTAGACTTTGATCAGTCCCAAAAAGAGAAGGAATTCAACTGTAAAATGTTCACGTGCAATATCTGTTTTTCGGTAAAACAGGGAAGTGAATGTATGGACTTTAAAGACTGCAGGCATGTGTACTGCAAGATTTGCGTAAAGAACTATTTTGAAATTCAAATCAAAGATGGACAGGTCCATTGCCTGAATTGTCCAGAACCTCAATGTTCATCTGTTGCCACTCCTGGGCAGGTAAAAGAATAGAAAAGTTAAGGGTCAGACATGGTATGAATCCCGCCCTGTCATTGGAGGATAAAAATAGATGGGCATTCTCCAGAAAGGAAAGCTAGTACAGGTAGTCTTCAACTTACAACTGCAACTCAGCCCAAAATTTCTGTTGCTAAGTGAAACGTTTGTTAAGTGAATTTTGCCCCATTTTACCACCTTTCTTGCCACAGTTGTTAAGTGAATCAATGCAGTTGTTAAGTTAGTAAAACGGTTGTTAAGTGAACCTGGCTTTCCCATTGACGTTGCTTGTCAGAAGGTCGCAAAAGGGGTTCAATCACGTGACCCTGGGACACTGCCACCGTCATAAATACGAACCAGTTGCCAAGCGTCTGAATTTTGAGATCATGTGACCATGGGGATGCTGCAATGGTCATAAGTGTGAAAAACAGTTGTAAGTCACTTTTTCAGTGCCATTGTAACTTTCAACGGTCACTAAATGGACTGTTGTAAGTCAAGGACTTACTTAAAGATATATTAATGTCCAATTATAGTAGTGGATATCTCTATTGTTAAAATGATTCTGGCAGCTAATACTATAAGTACTTAAAGAGATGACCACAGAACTAGGATCCCAAAAGAATTAGGCCAGTGCTTTAGTATTTACCTAATTTATAAGAACAGATAGGTGTAAGGTGGTTTGTCCTGCAATAGACAAAGGTTTATTATTTTCTGGATTAACTTTATTTTGTAAATTAACTTTTCAATAACTTTAGAACTTTGGTCTAAGCTTAGCGTTAAATGTATGTTTTTATGTTCTGTAATGAATTGGCCCCAATTTAATTCAGTAATATTCTGAAGTCCATTCTAAGTCTTTCAAGTCTTTAAACTGTTATTAGCCAAGCGTTAGAAATATGCATTGTGGAGCACTGATAAGAAAATAGTCACTTCCAGTTTTGATATGAACTGAGAGTAAATGCTATGGCTTCTGCAGTAAGGCAATAGGTCTAAATGTAGTTCCCTTGATTAGAGTCTTTTTACTCTTCTGTCAGATTATTTTCATAAATATAATACAGGGTAAATCTTGCTACAGCAAAATCCTCTAACGTTTTTCATCACTTGCCTTGAAGGTGAAAGAGCTGGTGGAAGAGAAGCTGTTTGCACTTTATGACCGCCTGCTGCTTCAGTCAAGTTTGGATTTGATGGCAGACGTAGTCTATTGCCCACGTCCAAGCTGCCAAACCCCAGTGATGCAGGATCCTTCTTGCACAATGGGCATCTGTTCACGATGTAACTACGCATTCTGCACTTTGTGTAAAATGACCTATCATGGAGTTTCCCCATGTAAAGTCACTGCAGGTGAGTAACCATAAAGGACCTTGCCTTCAGTGCTCTCTGAATATTTATACTTTATATGAAGAGAGCTAGTGTAGTGTTGGAGATTAAGCTTTTAAAATGATGGACTGGCACTGAGGAAACTCAGGTTCTCCTCAGCCATGGAAACATTCTCACAGAATAACTGTTGAGTCATTTATTTATCAAGTTGTGAAACTTACAGAGGGACACATTGATTCTTACGCCAACCTATCTCACGGGGTTCTTTTTGGGAGCACTCCTTATGCCACCTTGAGGTTCTGAATGAAAGGTGGGGTATAAATCTAGTTAATTAACATTATTTTGGGTGTGAAAATCTCTTCAATAATCTCATAGAATGATGGTGGGTGGTGCAGGTGGCCCTCCTAAGAGCATTTCAAGATTATACTGATGACATTTTGTGGCCCAGTTTTTTGTTTGTTTGTTTAAAATAGGAAGAAATGACTATCTTAATTCTATGGAACATTTAAGAGCCAGTTTAAAAAAAATAAGTCTAATTCTTAAATTGTTTGAGAAGATACAAAGCAAAAAGATGATTTAAGTCTCTTGAATAGCTTCAGATTCTTCAGCTTAATAGAATTAATTTATTCTCCTCCGAATCAGACCAAACATTTTCATTCTAACCATTCTGATTTCATAATTGGGTCACTATCTATACTTCTAGGGGAAAACAATATTTAACATTTTAAATTGCAGACATTGGTTACCAAAAATTGGCAGCTGTCAGAATTGAAATTCTTAGAGGCTATCCTCTTACACAGTTCTTGATAACAGCGATTGTAGAATGTTTTATTGAGTAAAGGTATTTTTTTTAAATACTTTTATTAAGAGTTATAAATGTAAAGTTAATATGAACTACATAAAATGAAAACATAAATACAAGAAAAGGCGGGGGGAATAGGAGAAGGGTGAAAAAGAAAATAAAGGGACGATTTAAAAAAAAAGAAGTAACTTCTCCCTTCATCCCAGTTGGTAAAAACAATTTTAGTAGCTTATCACAATTTCTAAATAAAGCATAAATTCTTTTCTGCCTATAGCTTATCTCTTAGATAAAGAAAACAGTCCAAATGCTACATCCATTAATCTTTGTCAGCAAAAGTCCAGTAAGGGCAGATATAACTACTTTCTTCTTTTAATCCTGGTCAAACAAGCCAATCTTATAAACTTTCCTGAGTTTTTAAAATTATTTTTGACCACTTCAAAAAAACCCAACAACTTCTAGAGGTAGTTTGCTGATCATCTGTGTTTCAAAGCAATAATCCTTCAGAACTTTAACAGATTTCTTTTGTATCAATAAGTAAAATTGATCCTTTTGTTTGTTGCTTCTAATAAAATCCTTCCAAATCTTAACAGTTCTTTTATATATCCAGAAGAAAAAAAATAGTTTCATCTCCTTTAGGGAATAAGTCATGCATCAGATCTATTTGTATTACATTTAAATCCCCCTTCAAATTAATTTCATAGACATCCATTGCAGCTCATTTTGTTTTACAACTTTATTAGAATATGGTCTGTCAATTTTATCAAGTGTTTGATCCATTCTTTCCAAAAATTTGGCTCAGAGGTATTCAAAACTTTACACTGAGGATTTCTGCTCCATTTTATTTTTTCCTCTGATTCTTGTGTCCATCCTTCAAGGTATCTTTATAATAAAAAAAAAAAACCAAAGAAATTGACATTTTCCCATGAGAAATTCTTCTAAATAATTTAAAACAATAATTCCAAATTCCTATGGCCCATTAATTCCTTGTTAACTTTTCAAAATCCAAATACTAAGCACCCTTTTGCTTAGTATTTGGTGTAAATTTTATTGTAAAAGTTTTTAAAATATATGGGTTGTTTTTTTTTGATTATGCAAACCAGCCTGATGTAATGAACTTGGTGTAATCCCGACTCCCAGCCATTCCACTCATAAGATAACTAAAAATGGCAATTTCTGCAGCCTACACATGAAAAATAGTTTTCTCAATCATGAAGTCGTGAGATCTCAACCATCTCTCCTTTATTCTGGAGAAATTATGCTGGGTTGGATCTAGCATCTAGTCGAGATTTGCCTCATAAAAGCCGTTTTGCTAGCCAGCAAAAGCTAGCAAGACATCAGCTTGCCATGGCACTCACACAAGAAGTGTCTTATTTATTAAAACATATTGAAGTAGTAGGTTTGACTCCTCTAGTAAAAGCATTTTGGCATGAAGTGAATTCTTGATGCCTATGTTGATATTCAGTATTTCTTAAGAAAAATATGAAAAAATATTCTATCCCATATTACTCTTGTACTACTGTTATTTGTTGAAATGCATGAGTGTGCAAAACTAATGACACTTGTTTTGTGAAACAGGTAAACATGTTTGTACGACTTTATGCCATTTTCTGTCCTTAATGCAGAGAAGCTAGCAGATTTACGCAATGAATATCTTGAAGCAGATCAAACTACAAAACAATTTTTGGAGAAACGCTATGGCAAAAGAGTTATTCAAAAGGCCTTAGAGGAGATGGCAAGTAAAACATGGCTAGAATGTAATTCCAAATCGTGTCCCTGCTGTGGAACTCCTATTGAGGTGAGATCATAGCAAAGAAGGACACGAGTGAAAAATGTTCTGGAGATTCAAGAGATGTTAGTTTAGCTTTTCAGGAGCAAGAATTGTGGTTCACCTTTGAATTCCTGTGGACAGCATTTTTTTAGAATATCAGCTCAGTCTAATCCTGACTATAGGCTGGGATCATCTCCATAGATTAGGTTTTGGTTGTGTTGGGAATGACAGGATTTGAATTGCCCTTTCCTGTGGTAAAAACCTATAGGTGGTAAGAAGGCTGTTTCTTTTTCTTTTTTTCTTTTTTTTTAAATAAATTTTTATTAATTTTTCATTGAAAAACAAAAACATAAATCTTTTATCACAATATCAACCAAAAAAAGAATCAACACTAATCAATACATTCACGGACAGAAGGCTGTTTCTTAACAACTAGGAATACCTGTCTTAAACTGAAACAAAAACACTACAAATATATTGTTCCAGATAGGTCATTATGTAACTATCAATAGAACTAGTTGGAAACTGCTGGAAAAATGTTAAACCAGACTAAGAAGAACTGAAATGTATCTACACTTTTCATAGTCACTATTTACAAAGCATTTTTCAGTTAACACAACATAATCTTGAAGGGAGTTAAAATTCACTTTTTCAATTCAGTTTTCTCAGTTCATTCCACAGGTTATAGTTTTGAACTTAAGTTTTTCATTTAATAAAATTGCTCTTTCCTTAGTTTAAGAATGGCCACTTTAAAAGTTGGAAAAAGTTTCTGGAGAATGTTCTCATATTGGTTTTCAAATACTGCTCTTTGTGATAAAATTAAGTCTTGACACCTGTCTTTTATACACACGCAGATACCCACAAACATATAACACCCATAAGCTCCCATATCAGTTTATGTAACTTCTGCTGATATACTTCCTAGCCGCTAAGAATAAAGGACTGTTGACAATGGATTTTTCTTTGTTGTTTCTGAAGCTCCACTTTTGTAATACTATGGAACACTGTACAGGTAGTCCTCAACTTACAACAGTTCATTTAGTGACCATTTGAAGTTACAATGGCACTGAAAAAAGCAACATGATGGTTTTTCACACCTATGACTGTTGCAGCATCCTCATGGTCATATGATCAAAATTCATATGCTTGGCAACAGAGTCATATTTATGACGATTGCAGTGTACTGAGGTCATGTGATTGTAAAATAATTATTGTAAAATAAATCACTTAACAACCGTGTTACTAATTTAATAATTACAGTGATTCACTTAACAACCAATCGTAAGATGGGATAACACTCACTTCACAGCTGTCTCACCTAGCAACAGAGACTTTGGGCTCAATTGTGGTCATAAGTCAAGGACTTACCTGTATTTTAAAAAATCCCATCGAGTGCTTCAGCTATTTAGAAAAGGCAGGCAGAATTCTCTTTCTTATAGCAGTCAGACAGTATTTGCTACTGCAGTTTCATAAGTTACTGTAATGTTAGGAATACTGAGTTGTAGATAATACAAGGGAATAGCCTCTACATCTTTTGTTTTCCATTTAGCAAGGTACAGTGCATTTATAATGCAGATTTCAGGTCAAGTTGCCTTTTTCCCTTCTCTTTTTTCAGAAGTTAAATGGCTGTAACAGGATGAGATGTACTGCTTGCATGCAATATTTCTGTTGGCTTTGTATGGGTGCTTTATCAAGGATAAATCCATACCAGCACTTTAATGATCCAGGCTCACCATGCTTTAACCTGTAAGTAACCTTTTTCTCTACTATAGATCTGGGTTTACAGGAGTTAATAGGGTTTGCATTCTAGAAGACTTTGGGATCTCTTACTACAAAGTAAGCAAAACAATAGGTCAACATTTTTCAAATTTGGTAGTTTTAAGATGTGTGGACTTCAACATCCTGGCTGGGGAATTCTAGGAATTGAAATCCACACTTCTTAAAAGCAGCTAAATTTGAAAAACACTGCAACAGTTTAATAAAATGAATGCTATTTAGTCTGGAGCTTATTCCACATGCTGGTTAAAGCACAGTCACTCAAGCCCTCGTTGTTTCCCGCCTGGACTATTGCAATGCTCTCTACATGGGGCTCCCCTTGAGGTGCACCTGGAGGCTCCAGCTAGTTCAGAATGCGGCTGCGCGGGGGATTTTGGGGGCCTCTAGATGCTCCCATGTAACACCTCTCCTGCGCGAGCTGCACTGGCTGCCGGTGGCCTTCCGGGTGC